GATGAAAATGATATTTGTGTATTATTCAATGATTGCATTAGATATTGTTCATTTGATAATGTTAATGATAATTCATAGATAGGTTTGTTTATTTGATTGTCAATAATCGATGTAGATAATTGATGTAAGATGGAATGAAATCGTTGTGAAATCTTTTTCACTGTCTCTGTATTGAACAAGTCAAATGATGCATTGACTGTGCATGACAGTTGATTCATGTTCATATCATGATAAATAAAAAAAGAGAAGTCGGATATATTTAATATCTCATCTTTATTAATATTGAATGAGGCAAACGCTGGAACAAGTCCAGAATCACCAATCACCATTGCATTATTGTTATTGGTAGTCTTGTATGATATAAATTCCAGAGATGTGTCCAAAAATGCATGTTTTGAAATATGTGGATGTTGGTTGAGAATACGTTGAAGAGGAAAATATGAATACTTCATACTATTTGTTGTTATCTTTTGAACATGTTCGAGTAAATGGTGAAAACACCAATGTGGATCTAGTTGACATCGTAATGGGATGACATTCTCAAACAGTCCAATGATTGATTTGAGTTCATCTCTATATCGATTATTATTGGTGTTCACAGCAATACATAGATCTGTTTGTCCATTAGTTAATTTAAATAGAAAGATGAAATAAATAGTAAATGTGAGATGTTCAAGAGAGATGTTATTTGATGATGCATGAGTAACAAAGTGATGCGAGAGATCTTGACCAAAATCAAAAGAAATCGATGTTGTACGACCAGTTCGATGTTCATTTGCAAGACGATATCGATCAAATGGTAATGATAAAGATTGATCGAGTTTACAATCATGAAGAGTATTAAGCCAGAAGATACTCGCTTCAGACATCGACATTTGTTGGTGGACGGCTGAACTTTTCGGAATCGTGCATTTACTTGGATCAGATGGAAGTATCTGTGCACTATTTGATTCTAACAATGATACTTGCTCGCTAGGAAGAAAGATAGTTAGGTCGTGGATAGATTCTTGAATTATCGAGAATGAAAAGAGTTGCGCAAGGATATGCTGAAAACGCTTTGA